TGTGTGTGTGTGTGTGTGTGTGTGTGTGTGTGTGTGTGTGTGTGTGTGTGTGTGTGTGTGTGTGTGTGTGTGTGTGTGTGTGTGTGTCTGTGATGTGAACACTCGTGTCCGGAGGGGAAGTGTGTGGCGCAGGCTTTGAGAGGATTACTGATCCGTCACGCACTGATTGAAACACCTCAAGATTCCAGCACTAAACGCCTGTTTACAACAACTCAGAGAAACATCCAGCCTTATCAGTTACACCGTACAACACCCTACAGCCATCAGACATACACACACACGCACACACACACACACACACACACACGAGGGCACACACTCACACACACACGCACGCACTCACTCACACGTGTATGTGACACTGAAGACTGAAATAATGATGCTGAAATTTCAGCTTTGATCACAGAAATAAATGACATTTTAACCGGTATTCACATAGAAAACAGCTATTTTACATTGTAATAATACATCACACTTTTTACTGTATTTTTCTTCAAATAAATGCAACTTCTTTCAGAAACAGTAAAAAATTGTAATGTGTAGTTATATACATTATTGATTTCTTCATACTTATATATCATTCTTGATTCCATCCATCTGCGTCTGTATTCTGAGTCTGTCAGTCTGGATCTGGCTCCGCTCCAAACCCTAGTGAGTCGACTAGCAGCATGTTAAAGCGTCAAAGACAGTGTTCCAGACAGCATAATTATTTTGCATTATTTTATTTCATTATTTCATATCTAACAACGATAATATTACACTGCAAAAAATATATCTTAAAAGTTTTTTAATTAGCCTTTTTGCCTTGTTTTCCAGATAAACTGCCAAAAATATCACTGAAACAGGATGCAGCTGCATTAGAAGCAACACTTTATGTATTTTGTCTTTAATGTGTCTGTAATTTGTCTCACTGCACTGGCACATTTTTTTTCCCCCAAGTACAAATAAGTGAAAAAAAGAAAATCTGCCAGTGCAGTGAGACAAAATACAGACACATTAAAGACAAAATACATAAAGTGTTGCTTCTAATGCAGCTGCATCCTGTTTCAGTGATATTTTGGGCAGTTTATCTGGAAAACAAGGCAAAAAGGCTAATTAAGGCTGCCTAGTTAGAAGACAACAGATCAGCTCACTATTTCAGTTTCAGTTTTTGAATCAGATTTATATTTTCCCTTTTTTTAATATCTCTATTAATTTATTTCAGTTTTTAACACGTTAAACTGCATGAAAGAATTGATTCCTAGGCAACTTAATTAAGTTAATAATATTAAATGTTAATAAACTAAGTATTAAGTGAAGTTTTTTTAAATTTTTTATTTCAGCTAACATTCATTTTATTTCAAGTGTAAACAGTTTCAGTTTATGATTTCAGGTTTTCGTTCAATTTGTGGTTTTAATTTTAGTTATTTCGGTTCTTACAGATGTCATATACATAAGAAATAAACAGCTAAAACCAGTCGGAACTGCCCTGAACCATGTATATTTCGTCTTATGTAACGTGGCTGACGAGACGTGAGACGTGCGGATCCATGTGCAAGCTTTATTCACAGGCGTGGTCAGAAACAGGCATGGGTCAGACAATGGCAAACAGGAATATGGTGGACAAGACACAAGAATAATCCTAGGGCTAGCGAAGGTCAACGAACAGAATCAAAAAGGGCGAAACTAAAGGGATAAATCCAGGAAACCAGGCAAGGATCAGAAACCGAGAAAACAGGCAAGGCAAGGCTAGTCTAAGGCAGGGAAACTAACGAGGGCTCTGTAGTGTAGCTATCAAATGATAAGCGCTAAACAATACTCGGCGGCGGGAAGGGATCAGAGTGAGTGTTAAATAGTGAGTGAGTGATATGAAACAGCTGTGTTCAATCAGTGC